CTTTTGCTGTGAAGTACAGCCAGACTTTGACCGCTTCGCCTTGGGCATTTTTAATCTGTAGCTCTGCTCTAAAAGAACGTACTGGTGCCATAGTGGCACCAGATACTGGTACCCATCCCTACTCCTAAGTGCCAGTCCTAAGCCTGCATGAGTAAGTAGGATTGTGTCAAGAAGAGCATCGACATGGCCAAATAGCACTGGTTAACAATGACCACCATAGGTTCTGTTGGCCTACAGGGTGCCAGTGCAAACTGTGCTACTGTTGGACGAAGACAGTGAAAGAAGAAAGGGAGAAGCTGTGTTTGAAGGCAGAGAGGAAGTTCTAGAGTCGGGACTTTAAATTATTACGTGTGGTAAAGGGAGAAACTCATGATCAAGAGGAGGAAGATATACTGTGTGTGCAGGATACCAAGCACAATGACACTAGCACTAGTTCTGACATGATCTAGATTTCTTACCATGACAGGACACTTTGAATCCATTTCTGGTGTGAGGTGGGTCATCTTGAACGAGGACTATGTGAATAGTGTTGTCGAGATGAAGACAGTGCCAGACAGACTCCTGAGAGCCTAAACTCAGAGGGGTTGAATGTTCTCAGTCCTTCAGGTTGGATGGCAAACGAGAAATTCTGGAGCCCGTTGGATGAAGTGGTAGAGAGTGGAGTGACCTCCTCCCCCCACAGGATGGACTAGAAATGGTTTCAGCTTTTAAAGAACTTGGTATGGGTTAGAAAAAAACGATTGGTTTATGTTGCAATGATTCCCGGTTCTTTTAAAACTCATTCTTGGTTGCCATAGTGACACATCGCTGCTTTGACAACCCGTGTGCTGCATACATAAAATATTTTCCTTAATAAAATGCATTTTTTTTTAAATTCATGCTGTCGAAAAGCAAGAACCCCCAAATATGTTGCGTTTCTTTGACTCCTATTGGCTGTTAGACTGCACTGATTTAACGTGAAGCAGTTCTGTAATCAGAGCGGATCATACTCATCCTGCCTCTTCAGAAGAACAGTGTGTTAGAGTATGCTAACCCCCAGCGCACAAGATCAACAGCCTCCATTTGACACCTACACTAAAATAAATTCACACTCCCATTTGCCTCAACACCTTCTTCTAACACAGATTATTAGTGCCTCACACTCCTCCAGGCACACACTCAAGCCAGTTTGCATTTTGAAAAGCTCATTGACTATCATTGATTTAAGTGCATCCCTGGACACTTCCTATGGATATGAATGTAACTGCACACAGCCACACACGAACAAACAAAAACACACATCTTAAGCTGCAGCACTGTGACGCTCAATCAGGCTCAAATGTGGGAAAATAACAGGTTTGATAGGTTTGTTGTTGTTTGTTTCCAGTAGGACAGAGCACCAAGCACCCTAGGGTATGATTTCTGTGCAACAACTGAGGAGAGCTGTTGTGATTGCTTTTCAATCAAGCGAGACAAACGTTAATTTAACCCTTTTTTCACAAGGAACTGCAGAGTTATAGGCTTCATTTGTGAAGTGTGTATGACTGCACTTTCTGATAGCTTCAGCAGTGGACTTCTATTTAGACTGTTTACTGTCAAGAATGTAGAAATATACTGACAGAGATAAAGGTGGTAACGTCTTCCACGCAGTCTGTGAATCTTTTGTCATTAAAGCTTTTGTTTCTTGTTTAATTAACTTGTTTCAATGGTTTGTTGTATCTGTATTAAATCAAATCACTAAACAGAAAGAGATTCTGTTAGTAACACCCTGACAACATCACCCAAACCCTCCGTTACAGGCCTCACATGCCTGGTGTGAGGCCTGTAACTGTCTCTCTTCCACAGCATGTCTTTTATCCTGTCTTCCTTCTGTCACCCCAACCAATCACAGCAGATGGCCCCGCCCCTCCCTGAGCCTGGTTCTGCTGGAGGTTTCTTCCTGTTAAAAGGGAGTTTTTCCTTCCCACTGTCGCCAAAGTGCTGCTCATAGGGGGTCATATGATTGTTGGGTTTTTCTCTGTATCTATGAAGCGCCTTGAGGCGACTTTTGTTGTGATTTGGCGCTATATAAATAAAATTGAATTGAATTGAATTGATGTAAGTAAACTCACAGCAGTTAGATTCCTGGTTTCAAAATCCTCATCGGCTGTTGCACATGGATATCATCCAGCTTGCTCCCACAGTTCATCGACATGCTTGTTAGGTAAACTGCTGATTCTAAATTGTGGTGTACGAGCATGAGGCTGCCTCTCTGTGTTGGGCCAAAGCTTTAGGATGTGCCTCGTGCCCTCTATGAGCTGCAATATGTTCCAGCCTGGCTACAATCATACACATTTAAAAGACAGCTGCTTACTCGGCGGCTGCTCAACTTTCTGACTTTAAAACAGAAATGTTGTTTGGCTTTCAGCCATCATGTTGGAGTTTTTCCACTTCTTTACATAACTTATTTATTTTTTATATTATTCAAACTCTTTTTTTTTAAATTTTCCCATATTTTTTATTTTGCAAATGACTCACATTTTCTTCATAACAACAGCTTAGTTGGATGTAAACACATAATAATTCATTACTCGGTTATTACTGGAAACCTCACTGGGTTTGTGTATCTCAAATTGCTTGTTGTGGCTTTTTTTTGAGCTTCTGCTGAGTAGCAAGATTTAGAGTTTAAATAATCTTTTTTTCAATGAAAATGAAAGATATATATAGTGTATGTTCTCATGAACTTGGAAAACCTCGAGTTTGATTAAATATTCTTCTTTTATGTCAGATTTATTCCCATATTTCTATTTTGTTTCCCCTGTCAGAGTATATTGCTTCTTGCAAGCTGCTTTCAGAAGTCTCTTATCAGTTCATAAGACACTGGCAGTAAAATATTCAGGGGCATGCCTATGGCATGAAATATGCAAATCTATACGTGAGCGTTGATGTGAGGCGTTGATTGGAGCGTCACATTATTGATATTTTCTTTACTTTGGACAAATCTTTGCTGGTGTTATGAGCTAATGTGTCGTGTGCTGTATTCCCAGTTAATGATGGTTTCTCTTTGTCTTGGTTTGCAGACGGATGCTGCGCTGATGTATGATGCTGTGCACGTGGTGGCCGTTGCTGTGCAGCAGTCTCAGCAGATCACTGTCAGCTCATTACAGTGCAACCGACACAAGCCCTGGCGTTTTGGAAACCGCTTCATGGCCCTCATCAAAGAGGTAGATGCTCGTCTACCTGCTCTTAATTCCATCTTCCTCCTTAATATACACAGCACCTTCACACAGAAAACACACACTCTCAGGAAAGCTGACAGAAACAGCATGTAAATAAGGCTTAGGCAGTCGAGAAGAAAGGGAATATGAATAAATAGAAATTATTTATCCGTGTATTTATTTATATGGAAATCATTTTTCCTAGCATCTGCACATGCCTACACCCCTGAGGAGGGCAGCCATATTGGGCCGGTTGTCTGAATTTCAGCATTAATCATCCAGGCAGGAACAAAGACACTGCATCATCTGAATTTCTGTTAATTGCTCCAGCAGTTTGCAGCATGGGTGAAGCCAGATGAACAATCTACAGCTTCCTGTCTGTGTAAAATATGCAGATTATCATCCTATATTTAGGACTTGATAACCCTCTAATCTCCTGTAGTTTGCAGAGATCCTGAGACTATTGAGCTGACAAACACATGAGAACCATGGATGTACTTTTATTCTTACAATATTTACAATATTCTAACAAATTAATACAAAAAGTGCCGTGAAATAGTTGAATTGACCTGAGTTGAACTTTACTAAGTATCCAGGTTTTAGTATGCTTTAGTATTTATGAAAACAGTGTTATCTGATGCACTGGCTTACATAAAAATTATTGGGATGTACACAGTCACAGGATTGTCACATAATAATAATAATAATAATAATAATAATAATAATAATAATAATAACAATAATAATTAGGGATGCAACGATACCAATTTTTTCAAACCGATACGATACCGATACTTGGATCTGAGTACTTGCCAATACTGAGTACAAAAACCGATACTTCTACCACACACACACACACACACACTGCC